CCACAACGAAAACCCAAACTGTTTACATGTACACGCATTTTAAGAGCCATCTCATTTCTTACGCATATGTGTGTTTGACCTGCATTATGTATGTGCAGCACACGGGTGCCGGGTGCCTGGGAGGTCTCACCGCCGTTACCTGCTGTCTCTGTGTTGTGAGAAAAGCTGGGTCTTGTGGCTGTATGGCGAAGGGTGTCATGTCTCTCATTTTCTTTTGGGGACAACTACCTGGCTGCTCTTGACTTAACTGTGTGCCTCAATTTCCCCATCTGCAAAGCAGGGATAACTAAGATAGTAGCACCTGCCTCCCAGTTTGCTGAGTGAAAACCTGGGCAGTTTCTGTCCTTGGGGTAGTCCTGTGGCTACAGAAAGCAGAAGGGACCATTAGAGTCAATGTTCCCTCTCTGCTCTGACTGCCGGGATCCTGTTCTAGCTGCAGGATGCTCTGTGTTCAGCGTGGGGTTTCCATAGCGCTCTTTTGATCTCTTCGTTCCCCTGTCAGAGAGGCGCGAGTGCCTGCTCACAGGGTGTCTTGTACGGTACCTTCCCTGGCTTTTTGGTAAGTCGCGCTGGAGGCCGGAACGTTTGCTTTGGGCCTGACAGCTTAATGACTTTGCCCAGTAACTTCTTACAGCGAAGATTATTTCCCCTAAGCCCGAGAGAGTTGAAACAATATATTTTGTTAGGAAATAAACAAGCTTGGAAGGAGGAAATGAGAATTTTTTTCCACTGCTGTCTTCAATGCTTTTTTTTCCCTTTAAAAATTTCATTAAGTAACAACATCCTCTCTTCCTTTGCTCTTTATCTTGTGTTTTGTTCCACTCGGCTTCACTAAGAGATTTGAAAATGAACTGACGTGGAAAGTAAACCCAGAGAAAGCCCGCGCCGATTGTAGTTTCATCGTAAGACTCGCTCTTCGCTCCTTAGCTACGGTCCCGCTTTGCATTTCAGCCGTCTCAGAACACGGAGTTGCTTCCTTGGCAAATTATCTTTCCCCGAATAGTTCATCGTGAGAGCCAAAGCATGCTAATAAAGACAGAAAGAAGAGGGCTTAGCTGAAGTACCTAACCCCATGTCTAATACTAACATGAAAACTAACGTATAGAATAAAAGGCTTTTGTTTTTTTTTATTTGTGTGTGTGTGTGTGTGTGTGTGTGTACATGACATGATGCATGTGTCTAGAGGTCAAAGGACAACTTTCTGGGGTAGGGGCAGGGTGGGGCTGTCCCACGGATCAAGCTGAAGTCATTGTGCTTGGTGGCAAGCACATTTTTCCATTGAGCCATCTGGCCAGCCCAGAAGGAGGGTTTCATTGGAGGGTTTCTTTTTCTCTTTTCTTATTGGTTTTTCCAGACAGGGTTTCTCTGTATTGTTTTGTAGTCTGTCCTGGAACTCTCTCCATAGACCAGGCTGGCCTCAAATTCCCAAGTGCTGGGATTAAAGGCATGCACCACCAACGCCTGGCTGGAGGGTTTCTTTTTACATTGGAATATGCTAGTGTTGTAATAGGATCTAGTTGTTTAGGATAATTGGAGCACATGGTCCGGGAATGGGACGTGGGAAGGGAGTTCTCATGCACAGGACTATGTTCCAGTCACTGCGTGGGATCCAGGGAAGGAGACAGAGGTGCAGAGGAAAGAGAGGCAGCACTATTATAGATGGTGACCCTCAGGGGCAGGAAGCAGGACAGCTGGGGAGGAGGTGCTATTTCTAGCCAGGGCAGTCACGGGGATTAGAAACATTTCAGAGATATGGCACCAGCTGCATCCTGGAGGATGACTCCAGGAGACTGGGGCACAGAGGGAGAATAGTGAGGAAGGTGGCAGGTATTTCATGGACCTTTACAGTGTGTATGTGCACACATGTGTGGCGTGTGCATGTGTGTGCATGTGCATGCAGGAGTTAGTGCATATTCCTGTGGAGAACCATCCACCTTTGCGTTGCTGTTTTAAGATAATCTTTCATTGTTCTGGGGTTCACACATCTGGCTAGGCAGACTCTCCAGGAAGGGTCAGGTATCCTCCACGCCCCACCGCCAAGCTATAATTATGAACATGCATTATATATAACACCATCTCTCCAGCCCTGGCACCTGGCTTTTAAAATTTTTTGAAAAAATGATTTCTTAGTTTTGGTCTATATACACACACATATATATATATACACACACATATATGTGTGTGTGTGTGTGTGTGTGTGTGTGTGTGTGTGTGTGTGTGTGAAGCTGTGGGATCCCCTGGAACTGGAACTACAGACAGTTATGAGCTGCCATGTGGGTGCTGGGAATTGAACGTTAGGTCCTCTGAGAGAGCAGCCAGTGCTCTTTACCCCTGACCTATCTCTCCAGACCTGACATCTGGCTTTTTAAAATGTAGGTTCTGGGAATTGAACTGAGGTCTTCATGGTTGCAAGGTGAACACTTTACCAACTGAGCCATCTCTCCAGTCACTGTCCCTCAAACTTTCTAGGAGTCATCTAATGAAATCAAGCAGAACCAAGAGAGAGCTTGGCTTCCAGTCGGCCTAGGCTGGAACACTGGCCCAGTATTTCTCCTGCTCTGGGGCTCTGATGAAGCTACTCAACCCCTCTCAGCCCTCCTGTATGGAAGTGTTGGGTAATAACATTCTTTTTTTTTTTGTTTTGTTTTTTGTTTTTTGTTTTTACGAGACAGGGTTTCTCGGTATTGTTTTGGAGGCTGTCGGTCCAGCCTGGCCTCAACCTCACAGAAATCCGCCTGCCTCTGCCTCCCTAGTGCTGGGATTAAAGGAGTGCACCACCACCGCCCCGGCCGGGTAATAACATTCTTGCTAGAACTAAGCTAATGACTGTAAAAGACTTAGTACATGTTCTTCTGACTTAAGTGGCCACAGACTAGTAATTATTAGGAACTGAAACAGCAGCAATTTGTCGTTCATAACTACGAGCCTCTCTCTGCACAGATCTTCCTAGGAATTATTACAAATTCTATGCATTCATGTGTGATACAATGTAGCCCTTCAGATTCACAGTCCCGTAGCAGCACTGGGGATGTCAGTAAGCCTAACACCATCAGGCCTTTGGGATCTCAGGCAGGCATCTGAGCAGTCAAGGTGTGCTCTCAGCACTTACTCTCAGGACAAAGTGAAACTGAGTTTCTACAGGACACCATCATATCACCCTGCCATTTATAAGCTAGCTGCTCCGGCATTGCTTTCAGCTGGCCAGCATGCTTGTAATTCACGATGGCTACTGGCGACGTGTAAATGAGAACAGGAGCTGGATCCGCTTTGCTCGCAGCGTGGCTGGAGCCAGTGTCAGGAGGGGCAGCTGGCAGCCTGCATTCATGAGCCGGGTTCACACCCTTGCTGTGTCTTTGAGGCAATGTCTAAGACTTTTTTTTTAAAAATATAGAACAATAAACACCTTTACTACACGAGCTATGAATATTATTTTTATTTATGTGTTGCATGCAGATGCATAGAGCCATCTCTTGACCTAAAATAAGTCTTTATTTTTATTTTTATTTTAGCTCTGGATAACTCACCGCATAGACCAGGCTTGCCTCTAACTCACGAGAGATCCACCTGTCTTTGCCTCCCAAGTATTGGAATTGAAGGGGAGTGTCACCATCACTGGTCCCTGATTTTTTTAAAATTACATTTATTTTGCGTATCTATTTTAGAGGAGACACATGCACCATGGTGCATGTGGGTCCTGGAGGTCCAACACAGGTCAGGTTTCATCTCTGGTTGACTCTAGAGTTCTACGTTGAAGAAAGCTTTTTCAATTGTTTTAAAATTGTATTCACCGTTGGTCATAGCAGTTAGGTGGAGACACTGAGGGACCAGTCTGTCTGATGTAGTTTGTCAGATGTCTCGGTGAGGAGTTTGTGGTGAGTTTAAACAAGCTTGTCGAGTGACTCTGCAGCTTAGAGGAAGCAAACTGGCCTTGAACTCGGTACGTAGCCAAGCACGACCTTGAACTTCTGATCTTCCTGCCTCCAGCCCCCAGGGCTGTACCACAGGTGTGCACCACCACACCTGCCCTAGCACACTGTTTTCTGGATTCCTTTATGTTATTAACATAATTTAGGCCTTTTCTCTTTGTGTCTGAATAAAACTCATGTGGATAAACACATTTTTGTTATTCATCAGCCGAGGGGGGGGTGCGTCCTTGATTTGAAAGCCGTATTTGTGAGAAGGTTCCCCATTAAAAACAAACTTTAGTTCCATGAACTAGGTTTACTAAGGCTTCTCTTGGGAACCCTCTTGATTGCTTTTAATAACAGATTCCATCTGCATCACTTAAGAAAGCAAGCCTTTCCCTGCAGGATTGGGCAGGTAAGTTGTCCTGTCTGTAGGCACTCTCCACCATCCTTTGAAGCTGGGAGGTTTCCCCGTGCTCAACTCTCACAGAAGGTGGCACTCACAGTTCACATGCCCCCTGTTCTTTCCTGTAATTGTCTTTGTTGTGTAACTGCTAGATTTGGACTGTCCCTCTGCTTTTTTCCTATCTTCTTCCTTTCTGAACTGCTGGGTGGACTTCGAGCCTGTTACGACTCACGCTCTGGAGACTTAGGTTTAGTGAGGCTCACCCCAGCCCCAGGCAGGGTCTTTCAAATACCCCAGGCTAGCCTGGAATTCGCCACGCAGTGGAAGATGAACTCCTGATCCTTTTGCCTCCTTCCAAGTGTTGAGATTACAGGCTTTCATCATTATACCTGGTTTATGCAGGGCTGGGGATTGAACCCAGGGCTTTATGCATAAAGTTAGTGGCTCCACCAGCTGCCTCCCACTTACAGGGTTAGGAGTAAAAAAATTGTGTGAGTGTGAGTGTGTGTGTGCGCGTGAGTGCCATGGTGCATGTGTGGAAGTCAGTTATCTCTTTCAACCACGTGAGTTTCTGGATCAAATCCAGGTCCTCAGGCTCTTACAGCAAGGGCCTCCACCTGCTGAGTGAGCCATGTGTCAGTCCCCAGGGTCAGAGTTCTTAAGTGTTTCTTGTCCTTTTTTTTTTCCAGGTAGACCCAGTGTTTACAAGGGAAGTGAAAGACCGGGTGAGGAGGTAGGTGGCATCTGCAGGCAGGTGGCGTCTGGCATACAAGGAATCCTCAGTGGCAGAGGATTCTGCCCATCGCAGACTCTGCTCTAAGCAGGCTGCAAGTACCACACCCTTTAACATTCCCTAAGGTCCCTCAAGGTCATAAATGGGATGCCCTCCAAGTGTAAGATACCCTACCTCCCTAGTCACCGTGGAAAGGCCAGAGCAAACCACTTTGTCTCACTGCATATGCCAGGCTGGACTGGAATCAGAAGCCTCCTCTATGGTGAGATTCTAGGTATGTGCCACCATGCCTGGCTTAGTGAAGGCCACTTGAAGAAGATAATTTTTACTGACAGCACCAGCAAAAAAAAAAAAAAAGAAAAGAAAAGAAAAAAAAAAGATGATTTAAAATAACAAAGTTTTGGGGACTGGAGAGATGATGGCTCAGTTGGTTAAAAGCGTTGGTTGCTCTTGTAGAGGACCCAGGTTCAGTTCTCAACAGTCACATGGTGGCTCACAATAACCTATAATTCCAGTTCCAGAGGATCTGATGCCCTCTTCTGACCTCTGTGTGTATTGCAGCCACATGGTGCACATGCATACATGCAGACAAACACAAATACACATAAAAAATAACTCTTAGCCATTCAGTCCCAAATAAACACATAGAGTCTTATATTAAATATAAACTGTTTAGCTGATGACTCGGGCTTCTTATTGGCTAGCTATCTCTTAATTATTAACCCATTTCTATTATTCAGTGTATCTCCTCGTGCTCTTGGCTTACTGGTGATTTCCTGGTCTCTTGCTTCCTCAGTAGCTACATGGCGTCTCTCTCTCTCTCTCTCTCTCTCTCTCTCTCTCTCTCTCTCTCTCTCTCTCTCTCTCTTCCTCCTTCCTTTCTTTCTGTTTTAGTTTTTCTAGACAGGGTTTCTCTGTGTAGCTTTGGAGCCTATTCTGGCACTTGCTCTGTAGATCAGGCTGGCCTCAAACTCACAGAGATCCACCTGCCTCTGTCTCCTGAGTGCTGGAATTAAAGGCGTGCGCCACCAATGCCCGACCTGCATTTCACTTTCATCTCAGTCTCTGAGTTCCTCTTCCCCGAATTCTCCTACTCTTGCCTGGCTACATCCCGCCTGTCCATTGGCCAAAACAGCGTTATTCAGCAACCAATAAGAGAAACATATATTCACGACACACAGAAGGACATTCCCCATCACAGCGTATCTGTTTAAATTGCATTTTTTTCCTCTGCCAGGAACGAGGGACCCAGCTTCACTGGCTATACAAGTTGAGACTCAATTGTTCACATAAAATTTGAGTGGGACTATGAGACGAGCTGAAACAACCATGCTGTCCCTGCTGTGTTCTTTCAGGGCTGCAGGGGTGCGTCTGGTCCGGGAGATGTGCCAGGAAGACCTACATGCAGTGGTGAAGAGCTGCTTCGCTCTGGTCAACAGCTCAGTCTCTGAGGGCATGTCAGCCGCCATCCTGGAGGTAAGTGCAGCTTGAATGTTGAGGGTGGGGTACTGGATCGTTCTTCTTTCCCTTCTGTGTCCCCCCCCGCAAAGATTTATTGAAGAATTTTCAAGTTATGGGTGTGCAGGTGTGTCTGTGTGGGAGTGTGTACAAGTTGAGTGCAGTTGCTGGTGAAGACCAGAAGGGGGCGTCCAGATACCTTGAAACTGGAGCTGCAGGTGGTTGTAAGCCACCCCATCTGAGTGTGAATTTGCATCCACTGCTCTGAAATGTGGCTTTATGTCATCTTTGTGCTTGGCCAAGAAGCCAGCTCTCCCTGTGCTCTGTGGTAAGTGGTCAGCATCAGTTGTACACTTGGCCCCAGCCACTGGGGGACAGTCTGTCCCCTCAGTAACTAACTTTGAAACCCATGTAGAGCAGGGGCCCAATTGCTCTTCTATATGTAAATACACATTGTTTTTTGTTTCTGTTTTTGTTTTTCTGTTTTTAAGAAGAGGTCATGAACCTGGCATCTGCTGAGTGGTTCTCTAAGCAGCACACCCAGCTTTCTCTGCGGAGGAATTGCTCTCGGCCTTGGCTTGCCGCACAGAAAAGGCAGCTGTTAGCAATCCTGATGCCCTCGAAATGTTGATGTGGCGTTCCTTTGAGAAGTCAAAATAACCTTTGGGCGAAGGGCTCTGAATGAAGTTGATTTTAGGGGGAGGGATAAGCGCATCTTTCTCATCAGAATCACTTCAGATGGTCAGGGCAGTTAATCACAGGGTGCATGCCCATCACTGGTCATCGGGGTGACCTTTTGACCTTTCCAGACCTGCTTTCCTGTGCAGGGACACACAATTGCCTGTTGGCTAAAAACACGCTTCTCCCTGAAAACTCCTCAAAAGCAAATCTCGGTCCGATGCACAGCAACCGGATGGTTATTGCTGAAAGCCTGCCAGGCATTTCCCATTCAAGCATATTGTGCAAGCATATGGTGGATTTGAGCCCTACATAGAATTACCTTAAAGGAAGGGGACGGGGAGATGACTTAGTTAGTAAATTGTTTGCTCACCCCCCAACAATTCTGTTTTTCCTACCTCCTTCCTACCTCCCTTCCTCCCTCTTCCTCTCTCACACACACTCTGACAACAAAATGGCATAAGTATTTTGAAACACTCTTACAGGATCTTTCAAGGTTCTCCAGTCACTAGAGCTGGCGCTACTCGCTGAGGTCAATCCCCAGGACTCACAGGAAAAGCCTGGCATGGTTGCTTGTGTGCGTTATCCCAGGCCTGGGGATGGTGGAGAGGGGAGACAGGCAGATCCCTGGGACCCGCTGGATGGTCAGTCCAGCAGAATCTGTGAGTTCCGGGCCAGTGAGAGACCCTGTCTCAAAAAGATAAGGTAGGCAGTTTCTGAGGAAGGCTTCTTCAAGTTTTCCTCTTGTCTTCTATATATTCACATGTACCCCTCCACACACAGAGGATGCCTTCATATCCCAGTGTTCCTGCTTGGAGCACCAACATGTGCAGTCACACTCAGACATATACCATACCTTTTGGGTCAGATTTTGCCCCGGGGCTGCCTCCACCCTAACCTCCTTGGTTGAAGGAAGGTTATGCTGTAATGTTAAGAGCAAGAAGAGAATGCTTGACCTTAGTGAGTAGCGCCAGCACTAGAGACTGGAGAACCTTGAATGACCCTGTAAGAGCATTTCAAAACACTCGTGCATTTTAGTTCAGGATGTGTGTGTGAGAGAGGAGGGGAGGAGGAAGGGAGGAAGGAAGAGAGAGAGAGAGAGAGAGAGAGAGAGAGAGAGAGAGAGAGAGAGAGAGAGAGAGAGAGAGAGAGAGAATTTTAAGTGGGTACATGGGACAGGACCATCGCTTAGTCTTTTGAAAAGCAATTTTGAAATGTCAAGACTAGAAAGATGTGCTAAGGGCATTTGTTTGTTTGGGACGTGGACGCTGCAGGAGTGGGGGAATTTTGCAAGGGGCTGTGCAGTCTTAGGAGGCATAGAAGAACCATACCACCATCCACTGGCCAGCACCCACCAGAACACCCTCTGCTCAGTTCTATGCATCTGTATGAACATCCCCAGATCAAGTCATTTCTCCACAGTAGCGGTGGTCACTCAGAATGGTCACTTGTGCCACCAGAACCTAAGCAAAGCAAACCCCTCTCCAATAGATAGGGCAAAGTTTAGGCTCAGATGTGACCCAGGACTGATTGGAAGCTTCATAAGCCACACATGTGCAGGTGAGCTGTGCATCCTCAGAGCCTGGGTGCTCTTTGCTTTGGGGTGCAGTTCCATCAGTTAAGTTCCTCGTGACTTCTCAGCCATGAAAAATAAAGACTGTTTCTATAAACCCCAGGTAGCTCTGATAAGTGTGTGTGTGTGTGTGTGTGTGTGTGTGTGTGTGTGTGTTTTGGGGGAAGGTTTGCAGGGTTTTAGACACCATACAGGGAGGTTGAGCAGGTCTAGGGGGGCCAAGTGGGCCTGTTTATGGAAGGGGGCTATGCCTTGTGTTCTGACATTTTGTGCGTCTATCCCTCGAGCCAAGCTCACCCCCTCCTCTGTCTTTCCCTGTTCAGTCTGCGTTTTTCCCCTGAATACGAGCATGCCTATTTCCAAACACTGTCTAGCGCGTGGCTTCGCCAGCTACAGTACTACCAGGACCAGCTTTTCTATGTGTTCATATTTTCGGAGCTTGTCTGTGCTTAGGATTTGCCATTTAAAAAAGATTTATTTTTATTTTAATTATGTACATTCATGTGTGTCTGTATGGGGATATGTGCGCATGAGTGGGGGTGGCCATGGTTTCCCGAAGACGGTGTTGGATCCCCTAGACCTTGAGTCACAGGTGATTGTGAGCTGTCCAGCTTGGGTGCTGGGAACCGAACTTTGATCTGCAAGAGCAGTAAGCACACTTCACCCGTGAGCCATCTCTCCAGTTCCATCCGCCTTTGTTTTTGGTTAGGGCCTGACGATTAGGCTAGACGGGCTGGCCAGTAAGCTCCAGGAGTCCCCGTCTTGCCAGCACCCAGCCCATACCCAGTATTGAGATTACAGAGAAGCACCGCCATGACTGGTTATGTTTTTGCTTTTAACACGAATCCTAGGGGATTGAATTCAGGCCCTCATGCTTGTAGGGCGAACACTTTACCACCTTAGTCATCTTCCCTCGTCTGACTCCTAAATGACACCCCGCATCTTCTGTCTGCCCACCTTCACAGGCAATGGATTTGGAAGTTCCCGTGCTGGCTAGGAACATCCCTGGGAACTCGGCCGTGGTGGAGCACGGAGTCACAGGACTGCTCTTTTCAAACCCTCAGGTAAGGAGAGTCCTTTCCCCATGTTTGCTTCGTTGTCGTGATGTCTGTCTGTCTGTATGAAGAAGGGCTGTAAACTTAGGTTCCCTGTAAGCCTCACAGCTCCTGCTGGAGGCAGAGCCGTCCAGCAAGCTCTGCTGTGTCTGTTCTCACCCTGGAGGGATGTGCAGCCTTAAGAAATTCAGGGTCCTTGACACCTGAGGATTTTAGGTCAGTTGGTTGAGCGGCTTGCCTGGTGTGCATAAACCAGGCCTGGTAGTGCACACCTGTCACAGAGCATTCAGGAGGTAGAAGCAGGAGGATCAGAAGTTCAAGGTCAACCCCTGCTATGTAGATAGTTCGAGACCAGCCTGAGCTATGTGACACCTTGTCTAACAAAACTCACCTCACGTAAACAAACAAACAAACAAACAACACAAATCAATGCACAGGTGTTCTCTTAAGTGGTTGCCCGGGACAGGGTGGAGCAGAAGAAAGGGGTCTCTAGCCTCCTGGTGCCTTGTGACACTGTGGATTCTGGGGCCTGGGAGCAAAGCTCTCTGCCTCTCTCATGTTCAGGTCCTCTCAGGTCAGCACAAGTCCCTATAAGCCACAGACACGCCCCCCGCACCCCCACTGCAGAACTAACTTGCAGATGTATCTCAACTGGGTGTTTCCACATTGGCTTTACCAAGGATGTTTTGAACAGCAGGCCTTCCTGGTTCTGTGCCGGGACAGTTGCGATTCTTCACGCTCTGAAACCGTGCGCGAGACGGATGTTGCACGTACTTTGTTGTCCTCATCATCTCCGTCAGACTTTGCCCAGTGCGTGGCAGGGTACGTTGCTTTAAAAACAAATAATGCAAGATTTAGGGTACTCCAGGCTGGCATTGCATTCATCTCAAGCACCGTGGAACTCAGACTTTAACCACTCATTGGTTGGCTGCAGGGAGGGCAATGGTAATTTCAAATCTGCACCCAAATATGTACGAGAATCAGCATTGCATTTATTAAGAACTGTCCTGTCAGGCCACCAGCTTTGGGAGTTAAAATATGTATATGAAACGCACAGGACGTACATAATGTGTAAGCATAATTGCTCTTTGAATCCAAGCTAAATATAGTTACTCATTCGGCGTTAGCTGTTGTTCCTTAACTGAGAACATAAAGACATCTGATGTCCCCGTGTATGGCTGGTGATAAAAGGCTGAAGAGTTCAGAGAGATTGGGAAGGCAGGGCCTGTGTAAGGCGGTAGGGTACATGGCCAGGAACCTTGGGCAGAGTCTGGGAACTCAGAGTAGCTCCAATGGACAGGCGGCAGAAGAAAAGGGCCTCGGTTTGTGGAATATAAATTTGGCCAGGCACCATGTAAACTTGAGGGAGGAGGAGAGCAAGGGAAACCCATGGACCGTGCAGCATAGCTGGGTGTGGAGGTGTCAGAACACGGCTGTACCGACATCTAGAAAGAGGATTGTTTTAGATGCTGGGTGGCAGCTCAGTTGGTAGAGTCCCGGCCTAGCATGCATGAGGCTCTGGGTTTAGGCGCCAGCACTGTATGGAACTGGACATGGCAGTGTGAGCCTGTGAATGCAGCATTTGGGAGGATCAGAAGTTCATCCTTGGTGACAGCTGTGTGGAGCCGGGTACTCACTCAGCCATTGGTTTTATTTGTGGCCGCCTTTCTGTCTCCAACCTTCTTTCCTGCCCCCTTCAGAGGGTCCACCCCTTCAGAGTGATTTCTGCCACCGAGAAGTGGAGATCCAATGCCCACTTTCAGGATGTGGGCCTCTGCATTATGTGGTTCTCTAGCATCGAGACAGCACCTGCCCCTAAGCTCTTGTCCCTTGGCAATGAATGGTAAAAGCCAGACCCTGTACCAGCAGCCCCCACCCCAAGCCCTGTGACAGCTACTTGCAAGGAGTATAGAGAGGAATCTGGAAGGAAACGGCTGTATTAGTTTGTTTTCTATTGCTGTGGTAAACACCACGACCAAAAGAAACTTGGGGAAGAAAAGGTTTTATGTGACCTACAAATCCCAGTCACAGTCCATCACTGAGGAAATTCAGGGCAGTAACTCAAGCAGCAGCAGAAACAGGAACCACAGAGGAGCACTGCTTACTTACTGGGTTACTCCCCATGGCTTGCTCAGTCTGCTTTCTTCTCCCCCCTTCCCTCCCTCCCTCCCTCCCTCCCTCCCTCCCTCCCTCCCTCCCTCCCTCTCTCCCTCTCTTTCTCTCTCCCTCTCTTTCTCTCTCCCTCTCTTTCTCTCTCCCTCTCTTTCTCTCTCCCTCTCTCTCCTTTCCTCTTCCTCTTTTTCTTCTTCTTTGCCCCCTCCTCATTCTTCTTTTTCTTCTTTTCTGACACAGGGTTTCTCTGTGTAGCCCTGGCTGTCCTAGAGCTCACTCTGCAGACCAGGCTGGCCTCAAACTCACAGATTCACTCGCTTCTGCATCCAGAGTACTGGGATTAAAGTTGTGCGCCACCACTGGCATTGTGCTTTCTTTTCTTTCTTTCTTTCTTTCTTTCTTTCTTTCTTTCTTTCTTTCTTTCTTTCTTTTGGTTTTTCGAGGCAGGGTTTCTCTGTATTGCAGGTTGGTCTCAAACTCACAGAGATCCACCTGCCTCTGCCTCCCAAGTGCTGGGATTAAAGGCGTGCACCACCAACGCCCCGAAAGGCAGTGTGCTTTCTTATACAATCCAGTATCAGCTTGCCCAGGGGTGGCACCACCCACAGTGGGCTGTGCCTTCCCACAGCAATCAACAGTCAAGAAAATTCTTAGACATACCTACAGGCCAATCTGATGGAGAGAATTCCTTAATTAAAGTTCTCTCCTCCCAGGTGACTCTAGTTTGGGTCAGGATGACAAAAACGAAACAGCACAGAGCTTTTGCTTTGGGAACCTTATAAGGAGAGCCTACTAGATCATCTACATTTATCTGTCTGTGTCTATATCTATATCTATCTATATCAATATCTTCAACTATCTACATCTGTCTCTATATCTAATATCTCTATCTATATATATCTAATATCTATCTGTATGTATAGATTTACATATATGTATATTTCTATCTCTGTCTAATATCTATATGTATCTATATCTAATATCTATCTCTATCTTTTTTTAATCTAAAAGGTTGATGACTAAACATATTTCATGGTTGTAGGCGCAGAATAATCTCTGTTTTTGTATACTTCACCTCTGGAAAATTTCAATTAAACAAAGCTTTACAAACCCACTCAGCATTGATTTCTCATTACCTCAACAATCCGGTTATTTCTCCATTTAAGAAAGAACGAGCGAGCCCAGTGACTTTACTGGGTGTTTTTATAGCTTAGTTTTATGTCTTCAAAATTAAGATCCATATGACATTGAATAGAAACTGAATTCATATTCTGCCAGGGTTGGGATCTTCAAGGGAGGCTCATGCTTATCCTACAGGAAGCTTTCTCTTTGCTGTTTATACAACTGTAGAGAGAGAAACTTTGGAATATTAATGGGGGCAGTGACTAATGTTTATAAAGGGCATGTGATATTCCAACTCCTATCCTTTGTGGTCAACATGACTTGTTTTTTTTTATTTATTTATTTTTCAAGACAGGGTTTCTCTGTGTAGCCCTGGCTGTCCTGGAACTCAGTCTTTAGACCAGGTTGGCCTCGAACTCAGATATCTGCTTGCCTCTGCCTCCCAAGTGCTGGGATTAAAGGTGTGCACCACCACTGCCTGGCTAGTTTATGTTTTCTTAAGCATACGTTTTCTTTTTGATACAATGTCCACATAGCCCAGACTGCTCTCAATGCCTGATCCTCCTGCCCATCCCACCCCCACCTTCCCAGTACAGAGATTATATAGACAGCCACCACCATCCTCAGTGTACGAAGTATTGTGGATCAGATTCAGGGCTCAATAAACGCCGAGCAGACCCTCTGTACACTGAGCTACATCCCCATCTCAAGGCTTACGTCTTTCTTAGAAGCAATGCCTTTTTCTTTAAGCAGGACTTAGATTGTGTTTGGGGAAAGCAAGGTACTCTGGGGAATTTGTCCAGGCTGGGAGGTGGTGGTGCTCAGGGGGTCTTGCTCCCACTTGAAATACACCGTGGCCTGTAAGCACTTTCTGTTGCATGCTTCTCCTTCTTCCAGAAGATGGAGGTAAGACTCTCGGGAAGTAGCAAAAGCTGTGCCAAGTGCTTTGAAGATTTTGAATAATCAAATCTAGAAAGTATCTGTTTTCAAATTTAAATTTAGAGCCAGCAAGATCACTTAATGATAAAAAGGCACTTAACCACTGAGTCTAAAGATTTGAGTATTATCCCTAGGACTTTAATGATGGGAGAACAGATCTGCAAGTTGTCCTCTGACTTCTACATGCTTTAAAAGAATGAAGACAAAAATGATAGATATACAAAAATAGATAGAAGTTAGTTAAATATTCACTACATTTCCAGTTCGCAGTCTCTGTGCATTCAGAAGCTCAGAGGTCCCAGCAGGAGTAGGCCAGGGCTCCAGTGTTGGACAGCGGGGGCCCTAGGCAGGGAAGAACTTTGACAAGTTGGGCTTGTCAGAGTTCAGCTCAGCCTCTATGTATGGTGCACAGGCAGGGTTAGCTCTGTGAGTCAGGACAGTTACACCTACCATGAGCAGGTTGACAGAGTGAGTCTTTGCCCCAGTGGCCGAGGTCCTGCAAAGATCCCAGCCCAGGTGAAAGACACAGAAATGGATGTACACACCTGCACACACACGCACGTGCACGCACACACGCATGCATCCACACCGCACCGTGAACAAATGCTGATAGTTACTCTCACCTCCTTCTATCTCTGTAACCCTGTCCTCACTCTCTCCCTTCCTCCATTCCCTCCTCCCTACCTTCCCCACTCCCTCCTGCTTTCCCTTTTGGGAGTTAATTCTGGCACTTTCCCACTTAGCAGTCCCCCACAGTGGACTCTCTCAGCCCGTACTTATCTAGGTTCATCAGGAGTAGGGACCCTTTCCTGTCTGATGCCCAACCCTGCCCTTTG